TGTTCCTCCAGCTCCGGTGACGGCAGCTGACGCTCTGCAGCCCGCGTTTGTTTGAGCTGCCCCATGCTAAGATTTCCTGATAAAATTACAAAGGGGTGTGTACATTTTTGCAACCCATAAAGATTACCTTCAGGTTCTCTGAGTGTAATCTTGTGACAGCAATGGGGACAAAAGGAGGCTAAAAAATACCACCAGCTTTGGGTATGCGGGCGCATTTGTGAATTCTTCATGCTTAGGATCTAGCACAAGGACTGAAGTGGATACATTAGTCATGTTTTGTTAGTATGACAGCCGGTTGGACTGTCCACAGTAGCTGAGAGAGAAAGAGATCTTCATTCGTGGAGAGGGTGTTGGCACAAAGGGACGCTCTAAGGTATTTGTTTAAGTGACGGGAAGTCCTCATTTTAATTGACAAAGACATTTGGTGGACACTTGACCTTAGACTTGCTTGCTCTTCCTACTTAGCAATAAGCTGATAGGACGCGGGAGATGAATCTGTAGTGGAGCCCAGTGTCATTGCTTCTTCAAGAAGCCCTCTAGAGGACAAACATTGCAGGATGATCATCACACCCGATGGAGTGTCTCCCCGAAAGGTTCGCCTCTGCGACCGTTCTTCTTTGGGGAGACTCTAACACAAAATGAAGGCAGAAAGATGACAAGATGACTACTTATATGTTAGAGTTTGAAAGCTTTGAAACAAATGACCAAGGAATTTTAATGAAGGTTTTAGACTGGCATTAACATGTATGAACCAAGAAACATGATTGTCTCCGACACCTGGGGTGATCTGTACAGGTTATTTGTCAAATCTAGTCATGAAAGCAATCAAGCTGCCCCTGCTCTTTTGGGGCACAGGGATTTACTCTGCCATGTTTCTTAGGGTACCAAAGAGTTCTATGATGCATGTGTATCAAATTCTTCAGCACCCCTTAGGATTAATACAATGAGAAGAGAGTGACTTCAAAGTGGTACCAGGGGCAGATTTTTAGGTAAACAGGTGGTTTTAAGAGGTCGTTGAAAGAACACTTACGGTAAGTATCTGGAACCTCTAAAACAGTGGTTCTCAACCTTCCTAATGCCGCAACCCTTTAATACAGTTCCTCATGTTGTGGTGACCCCCAACCATAAAATTATTTTCGTTGCTACTTCATAACTGTAATTTTGCTACTGTTATGAATCGTAATGTAAATATCTGATATGCAGGATGTATTTTCATTGTTACAAATTGAACATAATTAAAGCATAATGATTAATCACAAAAACAATATGTAATTATATATGTGTTTTCTGATGGTCTTAGGTGACCCCTGTGAAAGGGTCGTTCAACCCCGAAAGGGGTCGTGACCCACAGGTTGAGAACCGCTGCTCTAAAACTTTGACATCTCTAGCTTCCCATCATGAAACATGGAAATACAGGTGACAATATTGATCACGAGTATCTTATGGGAGACAGCAAAAGCTGCTAACGTAGGGATTTGCCTAGGTAGGGAGAGGCCTTGGTAGTGGTTAATGTCAAGATGATACTGTGTAACTCAGGGAGAGACTTTGGGAACATGAAAAAGTACAGTGTCTTCTTAAAAATTGACCTCTGGGAACATTGCATTACACGATAAAGTGAGAAGAATGGGTCAAGATGACAATGTGTAACTGGGAAGAGATTTTGAGGACATGCCAAAAGTACAGTGTCTTCTTTAAAATTGTCCTCTGGGTACAGTGCATGATAGAGTAAGAAGAACAGGTCATTTAGATCAGGAATTTTTAATGAGGGGGTGTGTTGAGACTATTGGAATTACACTATTCTGTCCCTCCTCTCCTGGCCCCCAAGATTTTCAAGTTGAGCATCAAAGTTACCCTAAGTCACCAAAAGCCAGTGGAACCTTGTCCTTTGGTCTGTTGTGTGTGGAGGCTCCAAGCTGAGAATGGCAGCAGTGTCTACAATTTTCCTATAAAATGTTACTTGAAATCCGTGAGAACTGTTCTTTTTAAAAGGATAGACTGTTCTTCTTTTATAAAGGATATACTCTGAATATTTTCGGTTGTTGCACATTAGTTTTGGTTAAATCGTAGGGTTTGACAACCTGCAACTCTAAAGCAGAATATTATGGTGGTGAAGTGTGCTGACTTGGGATTTGAGTACTGGCTCCCTAATTAGCTGTGACCTTTATTTAAAAAAAAAGTTATAGAACACCTTCAGGACTCCACTAACGCATTAGTGAAGTGAGAATAACAGTGTTTCACATTTGTGATGGTATTAATGAGATAATCCAGACAAGGACCTCAGCACAGTGACCAGAACGTAGAAAGCGTTCAACTTATGTTTGCTTTAATAATAACTAAAGACCAAATATAAGAATCAACTCTTTCTCTGGGAACGACTTTTGCTTTTGAATTAAGAACCACAGCATTGGCTTTAGGTATTTCATAAACCCGACTAAATGAACTTAATTTATAAAACTCTTTGACTACTGAACTAGCATGTAATTGGGCAGAAATTTGTTTGGAGGGTAGGACTGGAACCTGACAAACTTCTTGTGAGACGTGATTCTTTTGTTCTAGCAGGGCTTCTTTTAAGTGTGTGATGGGAAGTGTTGGTGTCCTCTTACCCATGGAAATCATGCAAATTGGGGGAAGTAGGGAAAAGCATCTGCATTGGTTTACTAGAGCTGTCATAACGAAATACCACACACAGAGGGACTTAACAACAGAAGTTTATTGCCTCATAGTTCCAGAGGCTAGAAGTCTCAGATCAAGTGATGCCAAGACTGGTTCCTTCTTGGGCTGTGAGGGAGGATCTGTTCCGTGCCTCTCACCAACCTTCTGGTGGTCCCATGGCTTCCCTTGCCTGGCCCAGATCTCTGCCTTCGTCTCCGTAAGACGTTCTCTTTGAGTGCAAGTCTCTGTGTCTAAGTTCCCTCTTTTCATGAGGACACCAGTCATATCAGATCTTACTCTAATCTGACCTCATCTTAACATAATTAATTCTATCTTCAACGACTCTATTTCCAAGTAAGGTCATATTCTGAGGTGCAGGGGGTTTAGTACATAGGCCTATGAAGATTGGGGGAGGGCAGGTTGCATAAAATTTAAATTGTAACAGTGTCTTGTCCTGGAAATAATGCTAATATACTTCCATAATTTACAGTAATCGGTATTGAAAAAAATCCAGTTGCATGGTTACAAAGTTGTAGACAGTGGACTTGTTTCATCTGTTATGAAATGATGTTTACAAACTAGAATTCATAAAGTTAACCACTGAAAACACCAGGGGAGTTTCACATCTAATGGCATCCTACTGTGGATGCTTGCTCAAAATTCACAGTTTGTTCAGTGAGCTCGTGTGTGTGTGTGTGTGTGTGTGTGTGTGTGTGTGTGTGAGAGAGAGAGAGAGAGAGAGAGAGAGAGAGAGAGAGAGAGAGAGAGAGAGAAAGAGAGAACTTTCTTTTAAGGGCTTTCCATTTAGTGAAAAAGACAGACATTGTATAAGAAACATCTTTTAAAATCCTCACCTGAGGATGTTTTTTTCCATTGATTTTTAGAGAGAGTGGAGGGGAGGGAGAGAGACACAAGCAGAAACATCAGTGTGAGAGAGAGACACATGTATTGATTGCCTCCTGCACACGCCTCAGCAGAGATTGAGCCTACAATGGAGGTACATGCCCTTGACCAGAATCAAACCCAAGATCCTTCAGTCCATGGGCAGGGATTCTAACCACTGAGAAAACCAGCTAGGACAAGAAACAATTCTTAAAAAAACCAGGGGAAAAAAGCTTACGTTTTACTCAGTAAGGATGTTTGTGAATATACAGACTGTGTATTATGCATGA